TCCTCCGGCACTTCCTCCGGCACTTCCGCCCGCTGCCGCCCCGCCCTTCCTTAAAGAGGTGGGCGGCTCTGAGCCTCTTTATTTACTTATTTATTTAAGATATTTTAAAATTGATTTTTAGAGAGCGATGAAGGAGGGGAGACGGAGAGAAACACGGGTGTGAGAGCGAACCGGGTGGGCCGCCTCCCGCAGGCCCTGCCGGGGATGTAGCTGGAACCCGGACGCGCCCCGACCGAGTCCCGGGGCAAAGGCAGCCTTCGGCCGGGCCCTTAGCAGGACAGGGCTTCCCTGTTGCCCGGTTTATATCATCCAGACTTCCACAGGCGGATTCAGGCTTTGCCTCCACCTCAGTTCCGGCGTCGGTTCCCCGCAGGACGTGCTCCCAGGCCCAGCGCAGTGCTTGGGTCCTTCGCAGCATCTCCGTCGCACGGGCTTCTACATATTGACGGCGGAAGCCTGGCTACGAGAGCCCGGCCGGCAGGAGGCCTGGCTGGTCCACCGGGACCCCTTGGGGGCGGGGGTCTCCCACCTGGGCTGCCTTTGATCCACTGCTGGGGCTCTAGTCCTCGGTCCCTCCCTCTCTCCCTTTCTGGTTCTCGCACCCCCTGTTCCTGTCCCCATAAACACTTGCCCAAATTCCAGCCTCCGATACACGCCCTCAGTTTTACTGCCACACCTTCAGCCTACCGCATCCGACCTCCCTGACCTCCCCTCCCAGTTTCCTAAAAACAAAAACACCTTTTTGGGGGGGTGACCTTTCCTTTCCAGCCCCTCCTCCCCCTCCCAGTTCTGTTGCTAAATCTGGGCTGTCAGGGTGGAGATCCAGCCTGCCCAGGTGATGGAGCCAGCTTCGTGTGGGGTCTGTTGGGAGGGAGTGTGGGTGGCCGAGGACCCTGGGCAGGGCAGGCGGGGCTGGAGGAAAGGGGGCTGGAAAGGGCGTGCTTACCCTTCCCACCACCCCCCACTTCACCCACCCCTGGTTTCAGAGTCCTCAGAGGAGCTTCATTGCCCCCAAGTGAATCTGTATGTGGGGACTGGGGGGTTTAACAGATTGGGGGGCCCAAAAAGAGGGTCAGTGTGATAAAAAAGGGCCCATTCAAACTCTGGAAGAGCAGAAACAAAGGGGAAAGGCCCCCTCGGGAGCCTGTGCTTCATGCACACTGTCCTGGGCTGAGCAGGCCCGGGAACGATGCGCTGCAGAGACAGGACCTAACCCGCGCCCGCCCTCGGGCAAACAGCTCCCATCTAAAGCAGAACACAGCCAGAGCCTGGCCCCTGGCACACTTGGACCGAAGGGGGTCGTTGAGGAAGTATGGCGAGGGACGGAGTGGCTGGTGGGTGTGGTTTGGGGATAGTGGTGAGGGCACCGCTTTCAGACGTGGTCCAAATGAGAGTCACACCAGGCAGATAAGCTTCCATTATAAGCATCTATTTCGTTTGAGTCGGAAGTCTAGACTTCAGCCTGAGTGTTGGGGAGGGCACATAGTGTACCCCCCAGAGGGTTTAAGAAGCCCCCTCGGTTTGGAAGGCTTGGCTGGCTGTTTAAGGGCAGAGCTGTGTCAGCTCTGCTCCCTCCCGTTGCAACCCCCGCCGTTGGTCCCGCCGGCATCCGAGCCAGCGGGGCACCGCGCGGTCGCACGCTCTCCGCCCCGCGCTCCGCACGCGTCTCCTTCCCGGCCTCCGGCAGCCCCGGGACAGGGGCGGCTCTCTGAGGACCGGCTGCAGGAGTGGCCACCAGGGGGCCGGGGCGATCGGTCAGGCCCCGCCT